TGTTGGCTGGTTGGTTGGTGCGTTGCTTGGTGTGTTTTTTTGGTTTGTTTGTTGGTTGGTTGGTGCGTTGCTTGGTTTGTTTTTTGGTTTGTTGGTTGGTTGGTGCGTTGCTTGGTTTGTTGGTTGGTTTGTTTGTTGGTCCATTGCTTAGTTTGTTTTGTTTTGTTGGTGGTTTCTTGGTTTGTTTCTTGGTTTCTTTGCTTAGTTTGTTGGTTGGTTGGTTGGTTGGTTCGTTGGTTGGTTTCTTGGTTGGTTGGTTTCTTGGTTTGTTGTTTCTTGGTTTCTTGGTTGGTTGGTTGGTTGGTTTGTTGTTGGTTTGTTTCTTGGTTGGTTGGTTTGTTTGTTGGTCTGTTGCTTGTTTTTTTGGTTGGGTGGTTTATTTCGTTGTTGGCAGGTTTCTTGACTTGGCTTGTGTTTTGGTTGGCTGGTTGGTGGTTTATCTGATGGCTTTTGTATATTATGTTATTAGATTAATTTTTCCAACATTGTGTATATCTTTTGTAAATATTTTATATGTGTCCTTTGTATATTATGTTATATTAGATGTATTTTGTTTTCTTACTTTGTGTATATCTTTTGTAAATTATTTTATATGCGTCTTTTGTATATTATGTTTCTTTTGTTTTAAATTTTCAGCTCTAACTTTTCATTTTTGTTTTCCAACTTTAACTCATAAGCTTTTGTTTTTTCAGCATTAACGCTCAAATTAGTGTTTTTCAGTTCTTTTGTAATATTAGAAAATGAACTGTAACATTAGTTATGTATATGAACTGTAACATTAGTTATGTATATGAACTGTAACGTTAGTCGTGTATATGGAATATGAACTGTAACATTAGTTATGTAACTGTAACGTTAGTCGTGTATATGGAAAATGAACTGTAACATTAGTTATGTAACTGTAACGTTAGTCATGTATATGGAAAATGAACTGTAACATTAGTTATGTAACTGTAACGTTAGTCGACGATATGGAAAATGAACTGTAACATTAGTTATGTAACTGTAACATTAGTTATGTATATGAACTGTAACGTTAGTCGTGTATATGGAATATGAACTGTAACATTAGTTATGTATATGGACAATGAACTGTAACATTAGTTATGTATATGGACAATGAACTGTAACATTAGTTATGTATATGGAAAATGAACTGTAACATTAGTTATGTATATGAACTGTAAAGTTAGTCATGTATATGGAAAATGAACTGTAACATTAGTTATGTAACTGTAACATTAGTTACGTATGTATATGAACTGTAACGTTAGTCATGTATATGGAATATGAACTGTAACATTAGTTATATATATGAACTGTAACTGTCATTAGTTATGTATATGAACTGTAACATTAGTTATGTAACTGTAACGTTAGTCATGTATATGGAATATGAACTGTAACATTAGTTATGTAACTGTAACATTAGTTATGTATATGAACTGTAACGTTAGTCGTGTATATGGAATATGAACTGTAACATTAGTTATGTATATGAACTGTGACATTAGTTATGTATATTAACTGTAACATTAGTCGTGTATATGGAAAATGAACTGTAACATTAGTTATGTAACTGTAACATTAGTTATGTATATGAACTGTAAGGTTAGTCATGTATATGGAATATGAACTGTAACATTAGTTATGTATATGAACTGTAAGGTTAGTCATGTATATGGAATATGAACTGTAACATTAGTTATGTAACTGTAACATTAGTTATGTATATGAACTGTAACGTTAGTCATGTATATGGAATATGAACTGTAACATTAGTTATGTAACTGTAACATTAGTTATGTAACTGTAACATTAGTTATGTAACTGTAACATTAGTTATGTAACTGTAACATTAGTTATGTAACTGTAAGGTTAGTCATGTATATGAAGTAAAAAGTCATTGTTAGTAAACTTCTTGAGTTCTCCAACATGAAAAGACAACAAGAACATACAACTCAAATGACTGGCTTCTTATTGGTTTTGCATTACTTTAGTGGTAAGATCGTGTCGATAAAAGCTTCAACACAATTGCAACTGGAACAAAAAATAAACAAAGTCAGGGTTTTCACGAGGATTTTTTCACAACATAGGGGCAGCGAAGCCACATGGCGAGCGCGGCGCGGGCACAATGTGTATTATGGGGGTATCAGTTATTAAATTTATAACCCTCTGAAACACAAATTCAGCAGTTTTTCAATTAATCCTTAATTGCAGTAAGGAAATCTTTTACTTCCTGAACCTAAACAAACAATTTGAAGTTAAGTTAGGCAAATTCTAAATTAAGGCCACACCAATTTAATTTCTTAGTTAACGGATTTTTCTAGAAAAATAATGGAGCGGGCGGGCGAAAAAAAAAAAAAAAGGCCTAGGCATCCTATTAGGGCCCAAAATGGTACGAGAGGAGCCATGAAGTCAACACACCAGGCTGGTTCAAAATTTAAACAATGAATTT